CGAAGTTTCATAGACAAACAATTACAATACTATCTATGAGGGTTGACTGGAGCATAGAAAATAAGGGGAAATTACGAATCTCCAAGAAAATAAGATGTAGAGAAGTACAGGAGTTCTGTTTAGCTAGTCTTCCGATCGTTCTCCACGTTGATTGTTCTGTAATTTAGTTGTAATGTTGATGTGGTCATAGGAAGAGGCAAGCCAAGTGTTTATCTACTTTGCCATCTTGACCAGACACTTACATATTTTTATTGACTTCTTTATTTCACAAAGCTTTATACATTGTACATCCTTTCAAGTGAACACTCACTGGCTTACCTCATGTAAGGTAAATAACTATGCAAGTATTGCAATACTGAAGTGCATTCCCCACTTGAAAACTGAGAAACTAAGGGTGTTCTACTTCCTGTTACTATATAAACTACACAGGAGTAAAACACATATCTTTGTTTTATTGTATTTTGATATGTTAGATAAATTACTTGAAATGGGTATGCCAGGTTAAGGCAAATGAGTTTAACAAAACTTACTTTAAAAAAAAATGAGAGCAATTACAGTCCTGCCAACAAATTTATCAACTTTCTTATGTTAATCAAAAAGTGCCATCAAGTGTCACACTTTGCCATGCATGGCAAAAATTTTTACTAAGAATGCAGATCTTCATTATATGTAGTTCTTTTGATACTAATAAGTAGAATTCTTTTCTCATTGTTTTTTTAATCATTCTTTCTATCTTTAATTTTTCTTATATTTGTGTACTTAAAATGTTTTACAATAACATATATATGATTTTAAAATCTTATGTAATCTTCCAACTAAAGGCAAGATATTATGTTTGCCAAACTAACAAGTGCAGCTTGTCCCCACTAGGTCTTCTTTGAGTATCTGACAGAGAATGTAGAAGCGCTCTGGCTGGAGAGTGAAGATGTAAAGGGTTCTCCATTACACTGCTGTGTCTTAATTGGCTCAAAAGGTACATTTGTTGCATACTAGCAAATTTTAAAAGCAAAGTGACAGCTGGAGCCGGTTTGGCTCAGTGGATAGAGCAGATAGAGCGTCGGCCTGCGGACTAAAGGGTCCTGGATTCGATTCTGGTCAAGGGCATGTGCCTAGGTTGCCGGCACATCCCCAGTGGGGGTGTGTGCAGGAGGCAGCTGATCCATGTTTCTCTCTCATTGATGTTTCAAGTCTCTATCCCTCTCCCTTCCTCTCTGTAAAGAATTAATAAAATATATATTTTTTTAAAAAGCAAAGTGACAAATATATGCAAGGTTTTCCTACATCAGTTAGGTCATGCATAATTATTTGACTAGGGAAGCAAAAATATGACTCTAGGACTTCTTCATGAAACATAAAAATACTTAGTTTTAAGTCTTATGTTCATAGTAAAAGTTACTTTGATAGAGGATAATACAAACAATGAATACCCACTATGAGTGGTTTGACATCTTTTTGCATTTGAACTGAACCAGAATGCTTAAAATTAACTAGGTAAACGGATTACCAATTTAATCTGTTTTTCTTAGTGTGATTCTAAATTCTACAAATTCGCTTTTCCAGAAAGCCTTGCAGCCACCTTTAAAATTCCTTCCAGGATGAAATACTCCCTGAGTTGGCAGAAATTAATGCCTAAAACAAGTGTTCCTTGCTAGCAGAGATTGATGAGTTATAGTACCATTTATACATATTGGGCATCAAACAGTTAAACCATAAGGCTTGGGCTGAAGCCTGGCTACACCCCAGAGCTCTGCAGGCAGCACTTGGCACTCCACTAGTGCTGTGGGGGATGTGCAGTGTGAACTACTGAACAGGAAACAACCCTGGAGACAGGTGTATTTGATCAATAGAGGGGGGAAGAGCTTCCTAACCCATGACAAAGTAGGAATGGCTCCTCTGGCCACTAGCGGAACAGAACAGCACAGAGGAGGGCAGGATGGTACCAACAGGAAAAGAAGTCCTGCCTCATAGTGATTAGTGCAGTAGAAGCTTATGAAACAGTCAAATGTGTTTTCTTAGAAAAATAAAGAGAAATGATTGAATCCTTTTTTAAAGAATACCATACCTTTTTACATTGCAGGCATAAAGTATGAGTATTTTCAGAAAGTGTTTTCTAAAACTACAATAGAAGTACAGTGCCAGCCCTGCAGAAAATATCGGGTCACGTGAAAAATATTATAAAGAGAATGAAGAAGCCACAGAAATAAAACAAGGATCAAGGAGGAGGTGCCTTCCTAACCACAGTATGAAGGATAGCATACTGTGAAACTAAGCCTATAGGTCACATTTATAATTTCCTGGACACATATGTGCACGTATACACACACACATGTGCGCACACACACACACACGTGCCTTTCTCTTCAACCAACCCCTTCTTCCAGTCCTCTAAAGTCCTTTAGGTAATAATAACAAAAACGATTAGAGCATAGATTATCCACTCCCTAGATGCCAGGTCAGCCAATGGACTTCAGTTGGAGACCAGAGGCTTTAAGACCTACTAACTGAAAACTTCTTATGGATAAGTGCAGTCAAATTGAGCCAAGAGCACAATACATTGCTTTTATTACATCGAATTTTCTTCTCCTCTGAAACATGATCTCCCAAATTCAAAGAAATTACTACACGACAAAATAATCTGAACAATGAAAGATCGTCTGACTGATCACATTCAAAATAGGATTTCACCTGAATCATTTAAAAACTTGAAAAAAAATCTATATTTTCACATTATTTAAATTCCATCCAGAGATAGCTCTCTGCTTTATTCAAGAATTCTCCTTTTCAAATCACCACCTCTGAAGTATAATTGAGCAACCTACAAAAAAATCAAAGATTTCTATAAAAGGCTTATTGATTCTCTACTCAGGGCTCTCATTTCATAGCTCCAAACATTGACCAAATTGGCCAAATGTATACATACAAATATATATATATATATATATTTTCACACACGTTTATATAAGTTATAGTTATCCCTCCACAATGCAGACACGTTTTTTGTAGTGTACCCCAAATGCACTTTAAATATAGACATCCTTGTTTTGTTTTTAGTGGTGCAGTTTTGTAACTATATAAGTTAACTGCCTGGTATTGGTACAACAGGACTACTCATTAAATGGTACAATGTTTTAGCTCAATGAAATTAACACAGTTGTACAGTAAATCCTCACCTGATGAAGTCCCTAGGTTCTTAGAAACTTCAACTTTAAGGACACAACATATAACAAAATAAATTTTACCCTAGGTTAATTGACATAAATAAGAGTTAAGTTCCTATAGCATATTTCTGGTCACAAAAACATCACCAAACTTCTAACTAAAGACCCAAAATACTCCTAATAGTAAACATTGGAATAAATGTGAATTGTACATACATTTGAGAAAAGAGTATAAAAGTAAATAAGTCAATGATTTCCCATTTATTCAGGGATGTAGGGAGCTGGAGCCCATCCCAGCTCAGACTGCAAGGTGGGACCTACACTGTATGGGACATTTCCATCACAGGGCACACTGACACACACTCACACTCACTCAGCCACTTCACCTAATGTGTGCATCTTTGGACCTGGGAGGAAACTGGCCTCAGAGAAACCAAAAAACACATGGGGAGAAGGTGCAAACTCCACTTCTCTAGTCAGGAATAATTCCCCCCCCCTCTCATCAACATTATAAAGAAAGGACGTTGAATGAAACATTATTGAGAACATGCTTATTGGGAAAACCAAAATTTCTTCTTCATGAATATTTAACCAAAGGCAATTCTTCCAAAAACATTACTCTAAGTAATAATTATAGTTGTTACCACTCATGACATTTTACCTTCTTTTAAAATAAATTTTACCTTCTTTTAAAATAAATCTTAGTTAACATTATTCATCACAGGTAAGGAGAATAAAAACCTGCTTAAGTCTATAAAGACAATATTTCCATACCGTGTTATAATAATAATATCAAAGCAATATATTTGCTATTATTTTTCAGAGGTAAAAAATTAAAATATTGTATGGTTTATTCTTAAAAAACAACTTGAAAACAATAGCAAGATTCTCTAAAGTTTCTTTTGTATAGTTGCTAAAAATCGGTATAATTCCTCATTCCTATCAATTATAAAATCGAGAAGAATAAAATAAAATAATCACTAAGTATTTTGATTTGTATAAATCCATATTTTTTTCTTTCCATAGTTCTTAATAAAATAATTTATTACATTTATGCCAAATAGCTCAAACAAAACTACCAAAAAAGTCTAGACATAATATATTTGAAGTGATATTTTCTAGTAGATAATAATATTCCCTTAACAAAGTTTTAAAAATTTTTGTAACCGATCTCATGTTTTATAAAATAGCAGATCTGCAAACAACCAAACTTAAAGAAAGTGGAAGGATTAGAAAGATTGGAAATAGTAAATTACTTCTCTTAGTTGATGTTTATAGGTGAAAACCAGACAATCCTCCAAAGCTACAGGTGGTTAATTCATAAAGGATTGGGATAGTTGTTATTTTAAGTTGTCAGCTTATATCATCTTCTTACTTCTATTGCGTTAACCCAGAAAAGTATTATATAAATTACATGAACTTTTTAAAATAAGTATGCAAACCTATAAAAAGGAATTGAGCCGAAAAACCTGGTTTGGCTCAGTGGTAGAGCTTCGGTCTGTGGACTGAAAGGTCCCAGGTTCGATTCCGGTCAAGGGCATGTACATTGGTTGCGGGCCCATCCCCGGTACGGGGTGTGCAAGAGGCAGCTGGTCGATGTTTCTCTCTCATCGACGTTTCTAGCTCTCTATCCCTCTTCCTTCCTCTCTGTAATACAAGTCAATAAAATATATTTTAAAAAAATAAAAGGAATTGAAACTTCTAAGGTGTCAATATTCATTTGCTTTCTTTACTAGAAATGTGTTTTGTTTTTTTTGTTTTTTTGCTTAGAAACTTGGCTACCAAATATTTCAAAATGAAGACAATCATCTCACATCCATATGTAATATAAATATTGCTTACCTCCGTCAAGTGTGGCGTAGGGTTAAATCCACAGAGATTACACACTTGTTGCTTGCACTCGGTGCAAGTATTGAAATTAGGAGGCTCCTTGGAACCTACGTTGAGCTCAGTTTTGCAGAGAGGACAGGCTGATACTGGTTTGGAGGGTTTCTCCACTTGTGGGGGAAGCTCGGCCTTTGGAGGCTCAGCTGCTGAAGGTTTTCGATCCTTGGTAGGCTGAGGCTTCTTTTCTGTTTCTGTTCTTTTGACGGTTGGAACTTGCCCATCTTTGGGCTCTAATTTTTCAGCTCCTGGAGCTTTTGCTTCCTTTTTCACAGGAAGGACCTTTGCAGGTGCTGGTGGTGCCTGACCTGTAGACTTGGGTGGCCCCTGAGAAGGGGGTGGCTGTGCGGGAGGAGGGGCTTGTTTTGCTGGGGCCCCTGGCCCACTCTGTGCATGAGATCCAGGCTGGCCTGCTGTGGAGATTAAATTCGATGCCTGGCTGAAGATTGACGCTCCAAACCCAAAGAGCTTCCCCGTCATCGTTTCTTGAGGGGTGGTGGGCTGTGACTTAGGAGCATCAGTGATACTCCCCACATTCAGGCTGAAACGCCTTGACTGCTCCTGAGGCTTTGGTGGCTGGGGAGATGGGGGTGCAGTTTGGCCAGCGGTAGGTCGTGGGCCGGAAGGTGTTGGTGACCCTTTTGGCACAGGCTTGGCATCTGGCTTAGGGCTGGTTTTGGTTTGTGTTTTCTTGGGTTCTTCCCTCTTTTGCACTGGGTCCACTTGTTTTTTACCTTTGCTCTCCACACTGGGCCCCGGATGTGATAACATTTTCGAATCTGATGCAGGCCGAGGTATGACTTTAGAATCGAATGGGGTGACTTTTTCCCCAGTTGGTGGGAAACTCTGTGAAGGTTTGGCAGAGTCTGTTTTCAGGGGAGGAGCTGTTTTCTCTTGATCCTGGGATCGTATTTTGGAGCTTGGAATATCAGGTTTTGTTGCTGTTGGCGATGAAGACACAATGTCTGTGGCTGGCTTCGCCATCGTGGGCTGCTTTGGTTTATCATCAGCCATGGGGGCCTTGGCCGGCTCGGAGGGGACAGAAGGCTCTTCGGGAGGGGCTGGCTTGGATGAGGATTCTGCCACATGAGGCTGCTTGGCCGTGATGGGGGGAGAACCGTGAAGGGTTGGTTGTTTCAATAGTGGTGGAGGCTTTTTAGACTCAGGTGCCTTTGAGATATCCTGTTTGGGAACAGTATCCTTCTTCGGAGAAATCTGCTGTGACTGTGGGGATGGCTTGCTCACCACTGATGCGGGAATAACTGGGGCTGCCTTCGGTTTGGGCTGGGGTGATGATGGAATTGGGGCCAGGTCACCTCCTAGAGCTCTTTGCATCTGACAATTTAAACAGAGCCACTCTTTTACCTAGAAGTAAAATAAAACAACGGTTGGTTACTGGGACAGAAACAATGTGAAAACATTTTCAAAATGCATGGTATCATCTGAAACAATGTCTGTCATGAAGTAAAACATAAAAGATCAAATTACTGGAATTAAATAATATTCAAGTAATTACCTTAAAATATAATTCATGAACCTCAGAGACTTAAGCACTCTATTTTTTAAGGAAATATGAGAGTAAAAATCAACAAAATTGTATTTTTCCTCTAAAGTTAATTGCCATTCTTCACCTTGGGTTTACTCGAAGTTTGATTACTCCCAGAAATAGAAAAGCATGTATCATAAAAAAAAAATTGTAATATAGATTAGATTCCATAAATCAGTTATGTTAGATACTTTCTCTATTGATGGTTCATAACAGATTTTAGTTATACAACCCGGAGTAGGCTTGTCAAATTATGAACACATTGCTAATTTCCTAAATTAGCACAGCATTACTTCCCCCTCCAAGGAGACATAATCAAATGTGTGAAAAACAAAAATCATTAACCATGCTGGATTAAAAAGAGAACATCCTCTGTTAACAAAATATAGAAAAAAATAATGGCAACCCCTCCCATCAAATCAGCATAAATAGCATGGTCTAATAAAGAAAATACTGTTTCCTTTTAATTTTCTGAATATACTGGAAAGAGAAATGTAGGGAATACAAGGAAGCAATATTCTTATTTGACTGGTGAGAAACATATACAGGTGAGAAATACATCATACACACACACACACACACACACACACACACACAGAATCTGTTGAAAATAGAAATAATTTTAATCTCAGCATTTAAAAGAACGTCTATACATATATCTATAATACACACACACACACACACACACACACTCATGTGTGTGTAAATATAGGTATAGATGCTCTTTTCAAATCATGTCCAATGTAAAAAAGAGATGTTGAAGTTGGTATTATATATTTTGGGAGGTTACTTAAAAATACCTATGTTTAACATTACCTTTTTAAATTCCAAAATAATATATGCTTACTATATAAAATTTTAAATAACCAAAGTAATTAGAATGGCAAACTTTACATGATACAATCTCTCCAGCCAAAGTAACTAATGTTACCAATGTAGCACTAAAGTTCTTTGTGTAGATTTCTATGTGGTAAAAAGTAAATATATGGAGCACAGGTACCAGAAATGTTTCCTGCCATATAAATTGTGAAGTCTTAATCAGTTGGTAAACAACATACTCTTTATTTGCAAATAATTTCCTTTTGAAAAGAAACTGAACTAATCATCACTAAACTTTTATTTGTAATATGATGGTTTATAGTTAAGCTTTTTAATGGAAAAAAACGACATGAATATTTTTCTTAATCATTAAAATGGCCTTAACATTTTAAAAAGCACATTAAAATTATTTAAACTCACACACCTATATAACAAGCCTTACTTTGCAATCTCACAGAGGGCAAATTTTTATTTAGAGAAGATTAAAAGAGATATTTAACACTAACTGACATGCTATAGTTCTGTTTAAAAAATCTGTATCAAAAGTAGAATTAAAATTTGTTAAGTATGAGTGAGAGATAGGGGTGTTCACTACATTTGTTCTCAATATGGGTGTTGAATGCCTATGTATATTTTTATCTTTACCTTTCTGTATGTTTGAAACATTTCACAACTATATATATATATATATATATATATATATATATATATATATATATATATATTACTAAAGGCCCAGTGCACAAAATTTGTGCATGGGGGAGTGACCCTCAGCCCAGCCTGCACCTTCTCCAAACTGGGACCCCTTGGTGGATGTCCAACTGCCGATTTTGGTCTAATCCTTGTGGGATCAGGCCTACACAGGCAGTCGGATATTCTTCTCACAATCCATGGCCACTGGCTTCTAACCACTTGCCTGCCTGCTTGCCTGTCTGATCACTCCTAACCACCTCTGCCTGCCAGCCTGATCATCTCCTAACCATTCCCCTGTAGGCCTTATCTCTGCCTAATTGCCCACTCCTGCCAGCCTGATCAACCCAACTACCCTCCAAGAGCCAGGGCCAATGGAAGCCAGCCCCGGTCCCGGATGCCTGCGGGAGGCCTGAGGGAAGCCTGAGGAAAGCCAGGCCAGGTCCTAGGTGCCTGCTGGCAGCTAGAGGAGGGAAGCCCAAGCCCAGGGTGCTGGGGGGAAGCCGGTGCTGGCAGCCTGGTTCCTGGGTGCTGGAAGAAATCTGGTGCCAGCAACTGGAGGAAGGAAGGCCTACTCTTGCACAAATTTTCATGCATTGGGCCTCTAGTTTTCCTATAAACTATCATGTGAGATCTGCATCCACATTAACCACTTGTACTTAAAAACTTCTAGGGTCAGTGACTTTCAATATAGTTAAACTATAGGCCCAATGCATAAAACTTGTGCAAGGGGTTCGGCCCTCGCAGCCACAGTGGCTTACCTCAGCCCTCGCAGCCCCAGCTTCATACAGAAGGTTGTCCAGAAGGACATCAGGGAGGTCATTCAGCTGTCTGGTCTAATTAGCATATTATGCTTTTATTATAGTTAAATTACTACTATTCTTTTTGACAAGTGCCAAAACAAAGGAGATGCAAAATTTATTCATTTATTTATTCAAATATTTATTCAGATATATGATCCTTCAATGTTCCTTCCCACTGTTAAAATACATTGTCTATAGTTAACCTATATTATAAAAGCCTAATATGCTATGTGTCCAGTAGTCCATTCAACCAATCCATGCACCAGGCCTCTGTCACAATATAAAAAGCATTCTCTACTTTTAGGATTTTTTTTTAGAAAGAACCTCCTTTTCATTTAGTTATACAGCCTAAATCTGTTAAAAATTGTTTTTATCTCAGCACTTAACAATTTAATATTGAAAACAGGATGATTTTCAAATTTCTTAATTTAACTGAGAAAAAAACAACAACAAAAAAAGCCTTCCTATACATTTCAGAGAATGAAAAAGGCCATAACCTATGTCAGCATTAACATTATGAACCGCCTCCTAGCATAAGGAGTAATAATACAACCTTGGCCCTCTCAGTCCTCTGAGTTAAAATTTCTGCCACATTGTACCTGCATTCTCTATTATTACTCAAGTGTGTCTGCACTGCTTATGAAAGGTAATTTCCCATTCACTCTTTCATATATCCAAGCCAGTGTTCCTTATTTGGTCCTCCTTCCTTGTCATTTCTTACATACCTTATAATTCCACCAAATATAAACTGTTTAAAACAAAACATGGAAGGGGTTACCTTTATTTTCCCCTCAATCCTCATCTCCAATAACTGAAATAAAGTTTAGTTTTTTTGTAAGAAATTCAATATATAAAATTGTGTTAGTTTTCTTCTGCAAGCACTTACGTACATAATTCTTTTTCCAGATCTGTAACCACTGAAAGACAATGGTGAGGACTTCATGGCAGTGTGATCTTTCTATTGATCCCAGGGTACAACGGACCAATAAAGCAATATGGATGTTCACAAATATTTTTTGAGTTGGTTTAAATTAAGTAAGTTAATTGAAAATGTTTGTGCTTTTCAGCCTACAACATTTGTTTAATCTGCTAATTCCCAGTTTACCCAGCCTGAAGGGCAGGCTTCTGCCCTCCTTTTCTGATTACATGCCATTCTCCCCAGAACCCAAGTCTACATTTCTGCCCATGGTCCCCCTTTGATTCAAACTAAAAGAGTCCCCCTTAGTCACCGTATCTGCTAACCATATCTTCCCTGAATAAAATTACTGCCTTGTGTCTCTCCTAAAATTAAATGTTTATCTCTCTGAGCAGAAATGAACCTGAATTTGTTACCATCATTGCCTTAGACACTTCCTGCCAATTCCACCTGTACCCATGTCTATGACATAGTTGGTTCCCCTATGTCTGCAGGATTGGCCTTCATTCCACTGTAACTATGAATGAAGATCTTAAAAGATGTTAGTCTTTATCACTTCTTCCCCATGCCACAATTCGCAGAAGCCTTCCGTCCATAAATTTCATGTACAACTTCCCAGGTCACCTGTCACAAAGGAGCACCCACTCCCTAAAATTATGCTCTAATTAGATCCAATTATTTTACACTCTAATCATCCACATCCATTTGAAATATGGTGAGATAAATACAAGAAACAATATCAGGGAAGCCTACAACTGGATCATGTGTCCCAGAAGAACTCTTACCTTCAATATACAAGCATTAAAATGAAAAATTCTAACTGAACTAGGTAAATGTGTTATGCCTCAACTACTGCTAAAGTTTAGGGTTCATATATTAAGGAAAAATAGTCATCTTTTGCTTTTTCCACCCTAGTTACAGAAAGTGCATAAATAAAATAGGAAGTGAGTAAAAATAATTCAAAGTCTGGAAACACAATTGTTTAATGAGCTACTCTATTTCAATTAGCTCTAATAGGAAGGAACAAAAGAAAGGCATACGGCTATTCATTCAGTCCTCTGACTTAATATGCTGCAAAAATGAGGTTAAGGGAGTGGTCAGCCAGGATTTCTGCTCATTCTGAGGTCCCTGTGTTTTATAAGATAGACCTGCATATAATTTCTATAACACAACTCCCTGTTTAATCCAACTCCCTTTTGTTATGTATCAGAGCTGTAGAATATAGTATTACAACTTTCCTGGCTAAGGCCTTTGCTGAATAATGAGAAATATCTTATTTACAGCTGTTTCAAGAGGTACCACTTGAACTTTTTAAAAAAATTTCTTTATCGATCAAGGTATTACACATGTGGGCTTATTCCCCCATTACCCTCCACCATCCATTCATGCCCCCACTCCCCTGTGGTCTGTGTCCATTCATTAATTAGGCTTCTATGCATGCATGTAAGTCCTTTGATTGATCTCTCTCCCTTATCCCCACCGCCTCTACCTTCCCTGAGTTTGACGTTCTGATTGATGTTTACTTTTAATTGTGAGCTTCACATATAGAATTTTAAAATGGTGACATTTTTTAAAAAAACATCAAGACTGT